GCTTTTCTGGTAAGAGGGTCATGTTTCTTAAGCAAATGCTGCCCAACATCTGGACACAAAGAGGGTTTCTAATGACAAGAAAGTAGAAGTAACAGTTGAGTAGGTGATCAGTCATTTCTACCACAACAACCAAAATTTTGTGTCCGGGGATGATAGTAAAAACATTCGACATAATTGGTTTAAAAAATAAGTACCCATTGACTTTCTTCTATGTCACATTTGGGAAATGAGTGTGATTCTTAAAAAGCAACATAATCTCTCCTTCAAGGACTGTTTGACCACCTCAAGGAAGGAAAACATCACATTTTGTTATACATGTTAGACAAGACTTAAGAGACTAACTTGGGCTTCCAGTTTTCATGACAACAGATTGGTAAGTGAAATGTGAAGTCAGTCTCTGAAAGGGCTGGTTTTAAATCTAGGAATGACACATCTCTTCCATTACAGTATCATATATGCACTCAGTTGGTTTGGAGCATTAGCCAGTCAACCAAAAAGTTTCGGGTTTGATTCCTGGTCAGGGTATATACCTGGGTTGAAGGTTTGATCCCCTGTTGGGGTGCATATGGGAGGCAACTGATCCATGCTTGTCTCTCACATTGATGTCTTTCTCTTTCTCCCTTCCCCTCTCTCTAAAATCAATAACTACATAATCCTTGGGTCCTGATGAAAGGTTTTCTAAAAAAAAAATAGTTAAATGCACATTGATACTCATCTGGTAGATCCATATGGAAGGAGGCCCTGATGGTCTCATAGCAATGTCCAGTGTCTCCAAACACTAAGGTGGGTAACCTGTCTGCTGCAATCATAGCTGGTTCAGAAGGAAACAGTCTCTGTACTCTCTGTACCTGTTTAGAAATCACAGCATAGCGCCTGTTTCCTTACCCACATATCTGTCATTCTAAGGAGAGTGCCCACAATCTGCTGGGTAGGCAAGGGATTCAGGCTGCCCATAAATGGCACACAGGAGAGCAATTGCTGTGGGCAAGTACAGAGTACCCTCATGACCCTCTGCTGGCCCAAGTTCAAGATGATGACCCATAAAACCACCAGCAGGTGGCGTCCTGGATAAACAACACCCTCATGTGGAATGCCCAAGCTCTAGTGAGAAGGGGTGGGCACCCAGCCAGGAAATTCTCTGTTAGGTTACACACATAGGATGTCAATGCCAAGAGGATCTGTTCCCACTTAAGACCTGACACTGGACAAATGGTTGATGGGTAGAGAAATGAGTTTCTTGTAGCCCAGTACTTACCATATGATTTTACTAGACAAACAGTGGTATGAGTAAAAGTTCTGTATAGTGGAATCAAACTTCACTGCCTTTGGAACATATGATAACCTAAACTGAATTTTGTGGACTTGAGCTTAGGAACAGTTTACAATGCTGTTTCTATAAGGAAATGTATTCTGGGTTCTAAATGTCCAGTTTTCATATAAACTTGGCAATACAATTCACTTATAATTGCTGCAATAACTGTTTTTCTTTGGGTAATGTGAAAAAGCCAAACCAACAACAACAACAACAACAAAAATACACAAAAATCTGAGGACATTAATTTGTAACATCAGCAGTTGAATGATGTGTAAAAACTATAATGAAGAAACTCAAAAAATTAGTGTTGAGAGTGAAGAGAGTGTTGTAGGACTAAACAATGCAAAATGAATGTGTTCTGTTAGCTGCAATATTGTGAATTGTGTTCAATTATCTTTAGAGATTAATGAACATTTTGTTGAGAACAAAATCATACACCTAGTTAAATATGAACTAATTTAATTGATTTGAAAGCCTCAAGAGATTCTTACCAGTATTCCCAAAATTACCAGAAGAATCTGAGGCATAGTGAATTAAATTATTCAAGGTCATGTGGGAGAGTCCAAGCATTTTAACACCCGATTTTTACTTTCAATATCTACATTTATACTAAACTTTTGTATTCAGAGCCTCAGAAATCTTTTAGATTTCTCGAAGTTTTCTAATAGAGACTCTTTTAAAAAGATAGCGTTAAAGTAAATCATGTTTAGGCACTAAGTAATATATTTAGATGTTAAAATTTATTTTAATCTCATTTTATATTTTAAAGAATTTACTAGCATACGTCAGATGGCAGCATCCCACACTTAAGGACATCTGCATTGGACACAGAGTAGAAATGCAGCCCTGGCCAAGTAGCTCAGTAAGTTAGAGTGATGACCCCATACAGCAAGGTTGTGGGTTCAATTCCCAGGCAGGGCACATGTTTCCATTGTGGGTTTAGTCCCTGGTTGAGGTGCAAATAGGAGACAACTGATGAATACTTCTCTCTTTCTTCCTCTTTTTCTTTTTCTAAAATCAATACACATATACTAGGGAGAGTATTAAGGAATAAAAATAAATAAATTTGTTGCTGTGGAACAACAACATTGATGATTCTCTCCCTTTCTCACTCTCTCCAGAATTAATAAGTTTTAAAATATTTAAAAACTTTTCTAAAACTAGAAATGCTTCTATCACCTGAATACCTGTCCTATGACGAGTCTTCTGGAACTGCCAGCATCTAGAGATGCTCAAGATGGGGGGCTCTGTATTCAAAAGGCTGAGGTGGAAACAGTTCACCTCTATGACCCCATCTCATCTTTTCTGCAGAGAAGATAATCTCCATGTTGCAAGTATGTTGAGACACATTGTTAGAGTTAGGAGCATGGTCTCTCCAGATGTAGAAGTCAGTTCTACCTGTGTCTTTCAATCCCAGCTTATGAAATGCAGATCTTAATGTCTCTATTAGAGTCAAAGGTGAAAAATTTGAGCAAAAATGCTTTGAAAATATGTATATAATTCCCACCCAATATTTTAAGTAGTTGATCCCTGCCTCAGGGAAGTAGTGGCATCAGATACTGAAATCTTCCAGGAGGTAGGATATGACCTTGAAGTCTTCAGACTTTGCTAATTAGGATGGTTGTCTCAAAGAACTTCAAGTTGTTCTCTCTAGTCAGGGAACCTCACATGAAGCCCTTCTTCTATGCTATGACACAAAACCAAGTGGCAGGGAGAGCAGAGCTCAACTATCCTCAGCTACCACCTCCAGGACTTAGTAACCCCTTTCTCAAACACAAGACAGAAATATGAATTCTAAGGCAATGACTAGTACAACTTCTGATTTAAAATAATTGATCAGAGTCTATTTCCCATTCAAATTATTTTCGAGACATACTGACATAGCCTGAATGGCTTTGAAAGAACTTGGAAATTCTCCAACTGATGTTCTGTCCTGCTAAGTGCAGTAGACGTCTTTGAGGACTCAAAACAATGGACTCAAAGCAGCACATGTCTCCCCTTTTAGAGTGGGAGTAGTTCCTAGAGTAGTTCCCCCTAAACTTGTCAGCTGTGTTGGTATTTGTGACTCCATTACTCATAATGAAGCTGGGACTGTAGCATATTTACTTTTCATCTTCTATGCAGCTCAGCTTTTAGTCTATGAGTGTTGTTAGCTCGAGGAAAAGAATAATGTCCTGAGTGTTTGTTTATAAGGTCATGAACTTGAAAGTGGTAGGCATGCCAAGCATTCCCTTTAGCAAGGATGGAGCAGCAGCTACAGTCCACCCCAGAAAGGAAGAAGAAATTTTCCAGGTCCCACAGAACTACTCAGCTAGACCTCCTGAGTGCAATCCTCCAATAACTGTGGACAGCCAATAAGCTGATGACCTGTTCCCAGCACTTTGTGCTTGGGCCACCATCCTTGAACACATGGCAGCCTTGGGATGATTGATGATGCAGATATGACTGCATCACACCAGAATCCTGAGCGAATGAAGCAGCAGGATGAAAGCAAGGATATCGATTTTCAGTAGATGAGTACTAAGTAGTGTCATATACTGAAGCATTAGACAACAATAGAGTCCACCTTACAAAGGACAGTTTTAAACAATATATGAGAGTCCTGGTCAAGTTGTCTACATCAGTCTGAACTGAAAGCCAAGAGCAAATCATCTTTTACTAGCTCATGTCCTGGACACATCTGATTCCCTGATTCAAGGACAAAAGGACTCGCTGCAAAATTGTTAGATTTGGAATGGTTCATTGGGCCTACATGTTTTCAAAACCCTGTCATTGAAGTGAGCTGGAAAAATTCCACACACTTGCATCCTTGCTAATATGATTTCATGGGGACACACAATGTGTAGACGCTGCCTGGTATGGTCCCACATGATTTTTATGACCCACATTCACAACCTTCTTTGACTGTAACTGAGCATGTTCCCCACGTCTACTGGTATCTCTTGCTAGAAAAGTTTTACTTTGGTAAGAGGTCATTACAGGTGGCAACACGTGGTCCCAATGTTCATAATGCATTTATGTTGAAGAATCATTTTTACAGACACAGAGGTAAGTTTTACGAGAAAAAAAAGGCCTTGTTTTAATACAACACCACCATTTGGGGGAATGTACACCAAATTGTCCTTTTCAAAGACAGATCATTTGATATATTACATCTTGAGGAGCCAGCAACCAGGCTGGCATCGTGCATATTTGAGTGTGTTTTTCTTAAAAGCATAGAACATGGCTTGCCTTCATTTGACTCAGCTCTAAGAAATTCTCTCAAACTATTTCATGTCTAGTACAAGGAATAGTACATAGGAAACAGCACAAGGCAAGTTTCATTTCTCTGGGACTAGTTAATTGAAAGTATCAATTGTTTTGCATTTTCAAGATGCACACACACAAAGAGAAGTTAGACAATGCTTGCCTCTCAAGTGTAATACTTCCAAAAGTCTTTCTACACTACTATGCCCAGTATGGAGGAGGCTCGTCAATAAGAAATAGGTAGGTGGTCAGGGCTTCCCAACTTTTCTAATACGTCCAATGGGAGAGCTGAAGGGTACAATACATTTGGGTTTCTGAGAAATTGCTTTTTCCTACTGATAATGTGTCCCTGAGTCAAGGCAAGCCTCTCTGGGCACACTGCTTCCCACCCAACAGCGGCCACCTGCCAGGGGCCCTAACACAACACACAAGGTCTCCTCTACTGGATGCTACAGCTCTCACGGGACTCGGTGCCAGCTTCCAAGCTGGGCGTGGGGCAGCCTCGCTTGGACTTCAAGCCCTCACTGGGGCTGCCAGCCCACTGTCTCTTATGGGGTTTACTGGCTGAGAGAGGTCTTGCTGAGGGGTCTTGGAGGATGGTTGCTGAATCCGAGGGGCTTTGCTGAGTGACCTTAACCTGCAAAACAAGCATCTTTGTAAGAGGCTTCAATCATATTCACATTCCTACAGCAAGTTTGTCATGAAAATTCAAGTCAGATTCTTCTTCCCCAGGAGCTGTACACAGTGTTACCCTTTCTTCTCACCTAGGGACAGGTCCCACCTAAGAGCTAGGAAGAAATGTGACACCACCCCTGACCAGGCACCTTGCAAACCTTCCTTGACACCTCTCATGGCCAGAGAGCCCCTCCCAAAGCTAGTGTGATACTATCAGACCAGAGGGAAGCTCTTCCAGGGGAAAGACTTGGCCTCTTTACCTTTGTGTCCCCTGACTACCTAGCAGGCATTCCACATACACCTAAAAGAGAACCCAAACCAGCTTCCATTTAACTTACTGGAGCCACCACTGGCATTCGAACAAATATAACCTAAATGAGTGACATAGGATGTAAGCCTTCTTTACAATATACAAAAGACCTTCCGCCTGTCTTCATGCAACATTTTAATCATCCTCAAGTCATTGCTGGGTGCTTTCCAGGTCAGAGCTGCATAATAGCAGAAAGGCAGCAATGTAGTACAAAAGCCAGGGGGTAGTACACCCCCTTTCTGATGGGCTGCCTTTAAGGAGAAAGGAGGAACTCAGAAAATGTAAGGCTTTAAGAAGCAGATGAGAGTCAAGACTTTCTTGGAGGTTTACGTATTAGTGAAAGAAGATAGTGGTCAGAAGAGAAAGAGGAAGAAGACAGATGAAGTACACAAAGGCTTCACTTGGCCAAAGTTAAAGGTAACAGGTTTGTAGGGATTGCAGGAGGAAGATCTTTCAAATCAAATCAAACCAAACCAAACCAAACCAAACCAAACCAAACCAAACCAAACCAAACCAAACCAAACCAAACACAAGGAAACTGAGGACAGGCTCTCACAAGGGCAATGCATGTTCAGTCCTGGCCCTGAGAGGCAGCACTGTGACGGGTCACTTCCTGAGCAAGTGACTGCCAATGCTCTCCTTTGCAGAGTGGCAGGAAAAAGAATGGCAATTATTCCCCGATTTGTATTCTATCCATAGGAAGTATGTAGTTTTAAAAGGCAGCTCAATACTTTTCATAACAGAAAACACAGCAAATTTGGCCAACAGATCACATTCCTGGAAAGCCTGCCTGTTCCTCAGAGGATGTGCAGGACACTTAAAAGGGGCATCAGCCTTGAAGGGTCAGGGTCAGGACTGAATGGGAAATTAACATACATGGATTGTTGATGAAAACAAACACTTTTACTAGTACTCTTTCTTTTGTTTTAAAGTGGAAAGTGATGCAAAAGACAGCCATTTTTCTTGAACCCATCAGAGGCTGAAGAATCCAATCTGTAGGCTGCCCAGGAAAAAAAAGAGAGAGAGAGAGAGCGAGAGCGAGAGAGAGAGAGAGAGAGATGCCATTGGGAAAGATAATTTGAGCTAGCAATACTCTTTCTTAACCCTAATTAAATAGTCAAAGTCCATCCCTGGACTTTCCCTGCCTCTAGTTTCAGTTTCTCTTATATAAATTGAGGAAAATATAGTTGGTGACCTGGGTTGAAACTATGGATGTGATCCTCAGGCTGGTTTCCTCAGACCTGTGGATAACAAGCTGAGGTCAAATTCACCAGGTACTTAAATTCTTACCACTATGTTGGTGTTCACACTGGGGAGGGGAGAGGATATGGATGGCTCTGTGAAAACGAACCTTATTAGTAGGGGAAGGAACCCAGAGCCCCACAGAACTGCTGACTGACAGATGCTGTGGCGAGGGCAGCACCATTATCCTCTACAATGTAGTGGCCAATCTGCTGGTACTTACCAACCCCAGGTTCAGATCAGGCTGGCACATATCACACTCTCTTGTCCCCAGCAACTAGGAGCTCCTGGGTTTATTCTTCCCAGAGACATGGCAGAGAATGATCCTCACCGAATGTGCTTTTCACCTCTCTTCCCCTTGAAAGCACCAACTATCCTTCTTTTATATTCTTCAAACCAAATGATGAACTATGCTTACCAGAGGAGGCAAGCATTTTATAAGGTGACGCAGGAGATGCTGAATTCCATTAAAACTCAAGAAGCTGGGTTTTGAAGCTTGCATCTAATCAGGAAGTCTTCTATCTCCTCCTGTCCAAAGGACCCCCCTTCAGTTGCTCACACAAACAAAACTGCTTAGCAATTCATAAAGGCTGGTGCCTCCTGAGGCCTGCAGCTGAGGCAGTGATCAGAAAGGTGCAGGACTCCCTACACAAGGCATTCAACAGCAGAGTGGAGAGCAGTCCCCTAGTGGGCAAAGCCTTTTTCTTAGAGAATCAGTCTGAACTCCACATGCAACTCCACTTAAGCATCACCTCCTCAGAAAAGAAGAGGAAAGAGACCTGTGTGCTGATTTCAAGACATGATTCCATAACACACTTTTCAAACATCTATTTCCTTCTGCAGCCACTTCAGGACAACATCGACAGCTCTAATCATTCAACAAATATCAGTTGACTGCCAGACGTTGCATTAGACAGGAGGACACAGGAAAACCACAATCAATCAGAAGCCTCATGTGGCAGATCTTGCGACTCAGAAGGCGCACTTCTAAGCAAGTCATTGCGATAAAGTGAACCTGCATGACAGAATGGAAGTGCAGGGTACTTACTACCTAGGTCACGCTTTCCTATTTCAGAACCAAAGACCTCACTCAATCTCTGTAAGTGTGAGACCAGCAGATAGCACTTGGCATGAGCTGTGGAGTATGGAGCAGCTCCCACTCAGCCACCTGAAGAAATGCACAGCCTCCTCTGGGACCTAAACTGGACTCCTAGGTTTCCAGGGGTTGAGATCAGGGCTTCTCTTATGGTTAATAGCTTTGGTGCAGCTTGGAAGCTGCACTCTTTGGAGTCACTAGTTGCTTCATGGAAAAGGAGCTGTTTTAATGGTCCCTGGAATGTCAGGAGCTACCCCTGTATACCCTTTTCAGTGTTTTGTTGTTACCAGAGTCCAGAAGTGACATCTAAATGGGAGGGAGGGAGGTAGGAAGGATGGAAGGGATGGGGGAATTGATGAGGGAGGGAAAAACATTGTAAAAAATGGTAGAATATTTCTAATACAAGGAATGGACGATCAACTGTAATGAGTGAAAGAAAATTTTGACCTTTTCTCCTCACTCCTGAATTTAAAAGATTGTTTTATAATGGAAGTTATGGAGCAACTTAGTAGTAGGTATAAATTCCATCATACTTAAACATCTTATACATCACCAAACAAGTTCGCCAATATGTACTTGTTTTGATTCAGCTAATCACTAAGCTCACTGTAGTTTGGTGTACAAAAAATGACAAGAGTTATTAAATTCTTAATGCTATTTGAGACACATCCAACTACACTTCTGGGATCCCTTGTTTGCAAAAACTGAGAGAAAGGCAAGTCTGTGGCACCAAGAGAGAGCAGGTATTATATCTGGGCATTAAATATTTGAGTCTTCCTTTCCTCATCCTTTTATAAATGTACTTACAGCCAGAACTCAATAAAGTGAGGCAGTAAAATGTGAACATTCAGCACAATGCACACAGCACAGGTACATAAATGACAGCTTCAGGTGGTAGATTATAGAAATGTTCCCAGATTTATTGAGCAAATATTCTCTATGCTTAACTAACATTTACCAGGTTATTTGCAATAAACACAGAGATCACCAAAGTCCTACCCTCAACAAGCAAAAGAGAGAAATCCATAAATAATCCCTTCCTTTTGACATCCATGGAAAAGTGTACTTTCAGCAGAAAGTAAAGGAGGAAGAAAAAGTGAAGAATGGACAGTGTGGGGAGAGGAAAAAGCACCAAACTACCATGACCAAGGCCTGTGCCCAAACAAAAAGTACCTCTTCCAATGCTTCAGTGCTAGTGCCTGAAACTTTCTCCCAAATCCTTTGAATTCTATCTAACAAGGCCACTCCCCATCAAACTGTCTAAATGGCCTGTTGGGTCAAGGGCCAGGTTGCAGCTGGATCATTTAACATGTATCCTCAGGGCTGCTCACTGCTGACCTCTCTGTACCTTATAGAAAGGAAGGACAGACATTCAAGATGTCCCAAGTTAGAGGGAGGAGTGTCAAACACTCGCCCAGGGAACCCTGTCATTTCCTGGATTTCCATCTGTAGAGACTTGTTCACCGGAGGTACCTTTAGTGATCTGCTGCCAGCAGCTCTTGGTTGGGAGGTCCGAGCATGGCTTTCTTTGGAGATATTTAGGAGGGAGCGTGTTAACTTCGGGGCTGCAAGGTGTGGGCTGGTCCTGCTTGCCATGGTTGTACTTCGCAGGTTGTAGGGGCTTGTCTTTCCCATTCGGATGTCAGCAGACCCTAGGAACAAAAAAGCTGCCTTTCAGCACTGCTAGGTCCAGCTCTATCTATAATGAACACAATATGCATTAGGTCAATTTTTAACAAAGATGAGTAGAATCCACAAATGCTTTCTCCTAGCCACAGAGGGCAGAGAGAAACTTCAGATTCGCCCTGGGAGTTGTCAAAAGGAATACATAATTAACATGTTTTCCGTAATTAGAAATGTGAAAAAAAAGCCACAGTGGGAAAAAAAACCATCAAACAGGAAAATGTTTCCTGCTTCTCTATGAGGATGTCTTAACTTGCATTTTACTAAGATCTAAAGAACACGCCAGGCAAACTGTCCTGAAAATTTAGATGGGGGAGAAGTAAAATGAGAAAAGAAAACAAAACAACCCCCCCTGCTTAAAAAAAAAAAAAGGAAAGACCAGAAAGGCAGCTCTTGTTTACAGGGGACAATGTAAAATGCAAAGAGCTCCTTCAGGTGACCACTGTCACACAGAGACTTGGGGGGGGGGCAGAGATCTCACCTCCCTAAGACTGACGTGAGTTTCACTCTCTGCATACACCACCTCCTTCTAGAGAAGGAGCTGGCATGACTTGTGGTGCCCAAGAGGTGAAAGTCAATGTCAAGGACCTTTAAAGACAGGGTGTCACACACACTCCAGAGCTCCAGTAATGGCTAACTAAAGCAACAGTTGGTTTGTTTTGGTTTTGAACGCTTGAACTACAAAAACAACGCAGAAATCAGAAGGGATGGCTCACTTCTGGGGGGCTAGATTTTCTAAGGGCTAGAGTTACTCAGAACAGTGGTTCTCAAACCCTTTATGGCAAAGGATCAGTTTTGCTCATTTTCTGGAGGGGCAGGCATGGGGTAATTTCTCATCTGCTATAGAATGGTAATTCTGTATAACACAGGAAGAATCAATCCACAGGGGAATGGTCATGTGCTTGGATGTTGAGACAATGTCATACTGCTATGAAAATGTTCATGTCTTACTGTTGATTTCTGTACATTTTTGTGGGGTGGAGGCTAATGGACCAGTAACAACATTTCCCCATCCCTGGACCACTCTTGGAGGACCACTCTTGGAGGACTGCTGGGGCTTAGAAAAAGGGGTATGTGTCTTCAGCCAGGGGACCATGTCATCGGGCCCCTCCTCCAGCTCACCTACTACCTCAGTCACATGTGACTACAGACAAGAAAGCTTAAAGGATGTCCTCGATTTGGGGATTTTTCAGCACAGGAATATCAAATTTAAAATGGCATTTTAACAATCATTTTGCTAAGCTACCAGCACTTTGAGTAGTGTGACATGAGTCACTAGATACTATTCAATCTCTCATGACAGAAAGGAAAATATACATTTTAAAAGGTAATCTGTTCATTAACTTGTACAATGGTGCTGTCACCTCAAACTCCATGCTCCTGTCTTTTTGCATGTGAAATTCCATGTGGACTTTCAAAAGAACACAGGTAATTTTTAAAAAATTATGCAGTACCTTTCTGTCCAACTTCTGGAAGTCCCAGGGGCTCAAGCTTAGTGTCTTCTGCATCCTCTGCCAGGGGCATGCTCCTTTTGGCCATCTTCCGGCTTCTTTTAGGAAACGTCTGTGGTGTGGAAGGTGCTGTTCCTCCCTTGTTCTCCTGAATTCCACTGGACATTTGCCTCTTGCCTGAAGCTTTACTTTGGCTGGATGATCCCTTCTTTTCAGTAACACAAGGGACTGGAAGTGACTCTGGGTCAAGTGACTTGAGAAAAGGGGAAATCTCGACATTCATTGGAGATTGCTGTGAACTCAGACGAGCGACTTGGGCTTCTAACATCTCTTTGTCTCTCTTCAACTTCTCATGGCTTGTGAAGAGGGAGCAGTACTTGTCTAAGTACTCTTTTGCCTCCTTGCTTTTTCCTTCAAGGGTGGCCTTCAGTTGTTTCACCTCGGACATCAGATCATCTACATGAGCATCCACAAGAGCACCTGTCAAAAATCACATCATGACGCTCTTTAATCGACTTTGGACATCATAAAGTAGGAAGCCTAAAACATGTTTTTAATTTCTTTTTTTCATAGACATGGAGAAGGCGTATCTATGCATGTTCTTATCGTTCTCACAACCTTTGTCTGGGAGGGATCATATCAGGGTAAATTCTCTAATAGATTATATAAATCTTACTAGGACAGCTTAAATAAAACCTCCCCAAATCTCAAACTTGTATTGTAGCTAACCCATGAAATTTTCTTGTAGTTGTTCATATGACATCAAACCAATTACTTTAGCACATCTCTTGTGATCCCTGTGCATTCTTCCCACTCACTTGAATGAACAGCATAAATCATTCAAGGATATGGAGTCCCCTCTATTGTAAAGGCTTTGGGAGGCAGAAAGGGGCCAGTGACAAGGCAGGTCCAAAAAAGCTCGGAAAACCATTTGTAAGCAATGGAGGGTCTGAAGGACAAAATTTGGGGGTCACTAGACGTGGGAGTCTTGCTCAACTTTTAGCTGCCCTGGTTGGCAAGAAATCCTTTAGAAAACCTCCCTGGAGCCTCATATGCTGCAAGGTCTCTCCTGAGCAGGAAAGACCACTGGACCACCATGCTGATCCTCGGTCCTAAAGAGCCACTCCCACAGAGCTTATCATCATCTCCCCATGCAGTAATAGGCATTCCACTCAGGCATAAGTGGAGAAAAGTTGTCTTTTCTCTTTTATTTTATCTCCACACCTAAAAATAGAGCCCTCCAACTGCCCCCACCATGTAGTTCACTCAGGAGGATGGGCCAAGGACGATCAGAATGAGGTGTGCCAAAGTGACAGTGGCAGCTCAGATGGCACTCTGAGGCCTGTGATGCTGATCTAGGTAAATGGACACGTGGAAAACTCTTCCTGGAATTGCCCATTAGCAAAAAGTACTGCCAGATTTTTGGTATGTTTTATGGAACAGAACATGTGATTGTTCTATGTCAAAATAGAGGCTTCCCTCTTACTCCTATGAATCATCCCATGCTGAGTACAAATATTGGAAATTGGAAAATAGACAACTGCCGAGAATCAGCACACAGTAGGACAGGGGAGCACGGAGACTCTGCCTGTGCCCACATCAGGCTTTGCTGGCCTGGGCACAGGCCCCTGCCCAGCTCACCCCACCTGGTTTCTGCTTCTCTTGTGCAGCTTCTTCAAGGTGACACAGCTCTTTCTGCAACCGCTTCATTTCCTCTTCCATCAGTTTATAGTTTCTGAGACAAAAATCCACCTTTCCCTGGGCATGTTCCTTTTCCTTCTTCAGCTGCTTTATTTCTATTTGATTGTTCATCTGCAAAACAGAAACTTGAATTTGAAACCTTCCATTTTTTAATAAGCACATTGGAAGATCATTAGGAGCCCTGGCCAGTGTTGCTCAGTGCATTGAATGCTGGTCTGTGAACCAAAAGGTTGCCAATTAGACTCCTGGTTTTGGCACATGCCCGCACTGCAGGCCAAGTTGCTGCTTGTGGGCCACAGGAGGTAACAAATCGATGTTTCTCTCGCACCACACATCCATGTTTCTCTCCCTCTCTTTCTCCCTCCCTTCCCTTCTCTCTAAAAAGAAAAAAAATATCAAGTAAAAAAAAGCAAACCATCATTGAGAAAATATATAATTAGAATAACATATTGTCATCATAAGAATTATTACATTCACACTAAAACATCCATTTAAGAAGAACACAATTCACCTTTTCTACTCGGTTTCCCAAGTCTCCCCAGTAGACACTGCTTTTCTGACACCCCTTCTTGGCATGCACAAACACAAAGCATCCTTCCCAAGAGTGTTCTCTTAAGTGGCTCACTCTGCCTGTGTGTATCCAATGGGAATCACAACCAGGGGGTGGGGATATGAGTCCATGCACTTATTCTTCTCGGGTCAAAATTTCTGAGAATTATGTTTCCATTTGTAATCTTGTGATCATGTAGAAGCCTAATACCTAAAATGGTGTTTGTTCCAGTCACACCAGGTGAAGGCTAAACAATATTATGGCTCACAGTACCAACTGAAATTGTATAGGTAGCTCACCTAGAAAGGGAGTAGAAAGGTGGGAGAATTCAGGTTTCCTTAACCAAAAAGAAAAGTACTGCAAATGATTTAGAGACCAAATTGGACCTGACACCAAGGTATTTATAGTTTGTATGTATCCTACCTTGTGAGAATATTCACACATTTTGCTACAGAAATATGAATTGGTATGAAGTAATTCCCCAGACCCTGCTAGAATATTCTGTAATATATGGATGGCATTTTCACTGTTCTATGTAGCATCTAAAGATGCACAATTCTAAAACCATTAAGCTCTAAGGAATTCTGGTAGGAGATGATGAATATATAAAACACACAAAACTATTCAAACCAAAACAACACCTGAGCTCCATATTCATGTTACTAGCAATTTGATCTTGACATCATAAGCAATGTTCCTAAAATGCCTGCACTTGTGAAATTTTGTATTTCTGATTCCAATCATAATTGCATGACAGAGGGATTAATTCAATGGCCAGAGTGCTTGTCAAGTATACCTCATTAAAATCACATGTGGCCTGAATAGACATAGACTCAACAATGTACCATTCTGTACATGCTATGAATATCAATAGACATTCCCCACAGTAAAACTGTCAGAGTACAAAGGCAGAAAGTGTGTCCAAAAGTAGACCCAAAGCTACATCTTTCTGTGATGAAATCTATGATCTTTCATGGAACAGAACACCAGGGGTCATTCATGTTATTGTGAATTTTATGAGTGTCTGTTATATTGGTATCTTTCCTTCCTCGTGAAAATTGTATAAGAGCAATAAACCTCAGAAGCTGATTCCTTGATTTCTGTTTGAATATATTCAATTTCCAATGCCACAATTATAAAAATGTAAACCCTCTTTTACTAAAGATCTTTACTGGAAGATATTTGTTTTTCAGGTTCATTATTGTACCTTCTGGATGGCAGTCATTTTCCAAGAACATCTCTGTAGGAATCAAAATAGCCTCCTTTCCAAGGAGATTACTGAAGCGCCATCTCCAGTCTCAGATTCCTGAGACTAGGGATCACCTATTTTTGTTCCTAGCCAAGAAAGCTCTATGGCCCCCCTGTAAAGAGGAAGATGAGTGTGGACATATACACATGCCAAGTGCCTGACCAAACACTTTGCCACACCTCTACCTTCCTGGAAGCCAGAGGAAAGTGGGTTTGGTGACAGCAGTGACCTTGGACACCCATCAAGCAAGAGTTTGGAATTACCCACCAAATTAGTACCTATAGCTGAGAGGGCTACCCTAATCTGTTCTTGCTTTCATCTTCATGTCCATCTCCAGAAGTGTATGACATCCTCTTGTTTGAGGATTTACTGAGCAATGAAGTTCATTCAAGCCATGAGTCTGTAGGCTGTCCATTGATTTCTAAAAAAGGCTCGGCAGAATTGCTCAGTGACATTATGCATAACTACACAAAATTTTTCATAAAAGTTAAAAAATGAAATCTCATAAGTCAATCCCATTAAAATCACAGTTCTTCTGTGGAAACTCTTCTAAGTCACAAAATAATGAGAAGGACACATACCTTGGTTTTTATCAATTCTCCTAAAAGCTCAGTGTTTTCTTCCAAAGAATTACTGAGCTGTTCTTTACTGGACTTCAAGAGCTCTATCTCCACCTTCTGCAAGCTGAGACATTCTTCTGTAGAAGTCAGTTTCTCTCTAAATGTCTGGATTTCCATTTCATGCTAGGGCAGAAAAATGCTACTTCAGCAAAACAAACCCAAAAGAAAACTGCCCATCCAAGGACCATTTCAAATGGACTCTGCCACTCTCCTATGACTCAACTCTGGGACGCAAATGTAGTTTTACAATGAAAGTTTTCTAATGAGACATGTGCAGGGGACTGGGAGAAAGTTCTTCCAGTTCATATGATGGCACCCTTCCTAAAATCTTAAGGGCATCATAATAATGCAGAACTTATACCTCCTGGCAAAACAGATATCTCCTTACCGTGGTCTACACACAGTCTCTAGCTCCCCCAGGTACCAAACTCTACTTTTCACCTGTTTGTTTGTATCCAGAAGCAAAGTTTGATGCCTCTTTTCAGCTTCCTCAAGCTGTCTCTGATATTCAGCTATTTCTTCTCTCATTTTCTCTTGCTTTTGCATCTGGTGTTGGTGCATGCCGTCCAAACTCCTTTTCAAGTCCCTATTTTCTAGCATGAACTCCTTCAGTTGACCCTAATGAGAAAATTAATACAAGCATGGGAAAATAATTAACACACTTCATATATGTCTTCAGGAAATACTGAGTAGTGAGGAGGAAAAATGACTTCTCAAGCAAGACAAAAATCTATACAGAATAGTGCAATGATCCTTAGCAATGCATTCACTTTCTGTTGCAACCTTAAGTCCACTGACAATTTCGTCTGTTCTACACAGCCACCCCTAAGGTCATAACCATGGGACCACAAAACCTCTGAAAACTGACTTCCTCTGATCCACTCTGGAACTCTACCCTCCCAAGGCTATGGGGCTGGCTTCTTTAAGTGCTTCCATGGCAATAATTTCTTGACCTCTACAACAGCACCACCATTACAACCTTCATGCTCAAGCCCTTCCAGGGTGACACTTTCTTCCTTGACCAGCTCAGAGGCCACTTTCTATTACTATGAGAATTTCCTTCCAAGTGCCTTGAACTCTCCTCCCCCCTTCTCTGTGAAGGACAGGCATACCCCTGCCCTTGGAGGCATTTGCCTCTCCAGTTCCACCTACCACATAACTGCTTCTACCCCTGTCTGTATACACATGGGCCAAGTCCACTTCCTCATCTCTCATTCACTCCACTCACTCCCAGGTCCTCATGCACCAACTCCCCCTCAACCAGCTCCCTAATGCAGATATGAGAAGCACTTTTCAGACCTTGACCACTCATTTGATCTCTGAGTAGGTCCCCAGGGTGCTGACCTCTCCTGGGTCTTGAGAGAGCCTCCTCCTTGGCTGCTAGGACATGGTATTTCACTGGGTGGCCCCATCCAGTCTTCTCAGTGTCTTTGCTTGCTCTTCTCCCACCTCCCCCCATCCATGGTGGAGGTCTCATGGCTCACTCTGTAGTTCCTATCGCCCATACAATCTTTAATTATGGCCTGTGTTCTAAACTCGGCAAATGCATATAGCCACACCAAGCCTTTCCTTTAAACTGCAGCCTTGTTTATTATGTGTCAATTCAGATTTGATTCCAATACTTTACCACAGCCTTCCTTCCTCTCCCATTCTTTTTCATATCATTCTCCTTTGGATTCCAGCCACTGGGCTTCCTTTCCATTTTTAAAAAAAGTACAAAAACCTTTCTTATCTCGAAGACTTTACCACACTGCTCTCTATACCCAGAAGCTTCCGTGCTCCAGCAAGTTGTTTGTAGGGAGGTTACCCCATCCCACAGGCAAGTCCTCTGACTACCCTATCTCTACCAGGTTGATGCCTACCCCACTCCCCAATTCCCAATGATTCTGCAACAAAGAATCTCATTTCTATCCTTTATAGGACTTGGCAGTTTATGAGTTTTTTCTGCTTCCTCTTGGGTGCCTAGACTGTAACCTCTATGAGTTCAAGTACCACAGGAGAGTGATGGTTGAACATTGTACACCGTAACCCTAGTAGTGCTTATTGTTTACAGAATGAATAAATGAATGAATGAAGTCACTGCAAACTCCCACGCTCTGCTGTACACACTTGAGGCTAGACACTCAGCTTTTCTTTTCAGTGGAGACTATGAATAAAGTACAAGTAACAACATACTTGGGACAGCCCCAAGGTGCTCAGTACCAGAGCAGATATCAGCAGATGATACATTTCATGTATCATCGGTAGCAACTCCTTGCACACAGCATTGCCCCAAAATCACTCAAGTCAATTGCTGAGATTAAATGCCCAAACTTGACATTTTTGGAAATACTGATTTGAGAAAGAGAGAGAAAACTATCCATTTGCTGTTTACTCATCCATGTTTCATTGGTGATTGTGGTATGTGCCCTGCCCTGGGATTGAACCCATGACCTTGGCTTATCAGGATGACTCTCTAACAAGCTGAGCTACCTGACCAGCACAAATGCCAACACTTGTAAAGTTTCCTCAGTTTCCATACCATATTTGAAGAAAAGTACAAATTTCCAAAGCTTCTTCTACACACTACTACAAATATCACTTCAACTTTGTGTACTTATTCAAGGTTGGAATTACAACTCTATGTGTGACCCTTTTCTAACGATTCTGTAGGAGGGAAGCTGCATGAGGACTGGATGGTTGTAGGAGCGTTTACCATGTAATCGGATTTGGCAAATAGGTTTCAGCACCCATAGCAACACTGCATGCAGGTGGCAGCCTCTGGGACTCCGTGTTGAGATTCAGGAGAATGGGAGGCAACAGGAATCAGCAGAGTCTGCTATGGGAACAGCAGTGGCATGGGGAGCCCAGATGCTACAGAACTGCCGCATGAACCCTCCTCTAAAAGAGCACCGGACACTGCTCTAACTCTACATTTTACTGGAACTTTCTTTCTGTTACTTTGTATTCAGTAAGATCAGTGCATCTGCCTGTAGCAACATTCTGGCTGGTAGTCTGAAGCAGGCTAGGAAAGCAGCCTATTGAATTCTGCATGAAATGGACTTCTCATGTGACTTAGTAGGGTACAGGATCCTTGTCTATGGAAAACCTCTGGGCTCCAAGTCAGGTCTGCTCCTAGGCTCTGAGGCTGCTCGAGGCCCACAACAGTGCTGGCTGGTGAAGATCACTGCTCTCATCCTGACATGAGCGCTCCAATCACTTTTCTCAAGGGCTCAGTCATGTTTGGTACTGGACAGCAGGTCTTACAGAAACTAACAAGGAGAGTGTGCACACTGAATTACTAATCTGTCACGGATGGACTTACTTCCTTGTGCTTCATTTCTTCCGACATTAAATTTAATTCTTCAGTTAGCCTGTTCTTCTCCCCATTGAATTCTTCTTTCAAGTCTGTCATTTTCTGTGTTATCTCACACACTTTCTTCTGTAGCTCTGTTTCCCTCGAAGTCAAGGAGTTTACCTGAAATTGAATCATTCGTTAGGAGCTGCTTTTCCTTGTCCATGTAGACCAAACATATCCCTGTGATACAACAGTCAGGACCTCTTCACTTCAGGCTCCAGTGTGAAAATGAACCACGTCTAACCCCGCCTTCACTCATCACTCGACCAACATGCTCAGGTCTTACTGGTGAACTTCCCTTTTCTTTGCAGCAAAGATTCAAGAAAAGACAGCAATAAGGGAAAGAATGACAAGGAAAGATAACATTACCAAGTATCAAAACCCTGCATACAGGCATGAAGTTGAATTCAAGTTAAACATCACAGAATATGGTATGAGGCAGCATCTTAAATTTTTATCATTTTTCTGCATCTCTACTAACCCCAATGCCATCCTAAGAGGCAAGACACATGGCTGTGATGAGTTAGAGCCAACTGACTGTACTGCTTGTATTTGTCCCTTCACATTGAAACATTGGGGTATAGTTTTTCTCATCATCTTCACCCAAACTGCCATCCCTTGCAAGACATTCAAACACTCGAAACTCTTGGAAATAGAGTTCTGACTGATTGGGTTTTTTTCTGGGCAGCAATCTTTTCCTTTAACATTCGTGCACTAAAAATGAGATTGGAAGGAATCAGTTTCTGAGGTTAGTTAGCAAGCATGGAGGGCGGGTACTTATTTTGATTAATAGGTGAGCTGCTTGATGGCAGACTTTCCCTTTAATCATCAACAAAGAAAACAGGAGTCTGCAGGAGGAGAAGGTGCAGAAGTGGGGCTGAAAGCCCAGAATCCCTAAGACACACACTGGGAGCCATGAGGGTTCTGTTGCTGACAATTAGATCACCATTGTTACTACTTCTTTCTCCTACAGGCTATCAAGGCAGAACAAGGGAAAGGGGATGTCTTCTGATCCTAACCAGTACCTACTATAACGTCTACAGCAGTGGTTCTCACCTGAATGTGAGGAGGCCACTATTGTGAAGCATTGTGGGAAAGGGAGATGTGATTAGAGCCAGGAACTGTACATAAGCCAGAGCTCCTTCCATGTCCACATGCCACACTGACTACCTAGGCCAGTCTATAGAAGAGTCTCGCACAAATGAGTGCCACAGCAAAGAAAGAGTCACTACTACTGAAGGCAAATAAACATCCCCCAAAGTCAACACCCCACACACTTCATCAAACCCTTACAAAGTTTGGTCCAATATTGCAAATACAGTCCTGAAGGAAATACAACTCACCAGTGGTTTCCCTCCCTCCTGACAACACATGCAAATGTAGGAAAAGCCACTTACTCTCCCGACATAGGATAGCTTTTCCATTTTGATCGATTCCAGCTCTTTCTGCGTGTCCCTGTAGGAATTCTGCAGCACTTTGTAGTTGTCCTGCAAAGTGTCATTTTTGGACTGCAGCCTTCGGATCTTCTGCTCCAATTCCACGATCACATTCTCCAGTTCTGCTTTTGGCTTCTTTATAACTTGGGGCTGTCCTCCTTGCTGGCACGACTTAGAGACCTGCAGTTCTAGGCCTTGAATTTGATGTTTTAAGAGACTGATCTCTTGCTCCCTCTTCTTCACTTCGTCGTTGCCCTCTTGTACTTGTTGAATGAGGCCATGCACAGAAGATTGCAAAGTAACACAATGACTTCTGGCCTGGTCAAGGCCTTGCAGCAGCTGACACTTCTCAAGCTGCAGAGAAGTTATATGAGCACTGAGACCTTGCTCTCTGGCCTTCCAGGTCCCCTGGTCATCACCCAAGGAGGACCTTTTGTCCTTCATGTCTTTCAGTTGTGCCTGAAGCCTCTCCTGGACAAGTTTACATTCTTGTTTCACGTGAACGATTTCCTGCTCTTTTGCTCGTGATACATTGTCAAAGGAAGCTTTTAACTGCTCTAATTCACAAATGCGCTCTTGCGCTTTTTGTAATTCTTTGGTCAGTTTTTCTTTTTCTGACCCGAGATCTTTCAGACTTGGGGCCATCTCTTCTATCTTGCCTTTTAACTTCTCTACCTCTGCTTTGGAACTCTGTGCCTCCCGAGTGGCACGCTCATGGGTTTTCTTGGCCTTTTTGAGTTCTTTTTCAAGTTGATCAACTTCCCCCTTAAACAACTCTGCTTGATGCTTATTTTCCTGAAGTTTTGCTATGACGAAGAATTGCTTCTTGTCATCGTCTTCTAGTTGGTCTTTCAGCATTTTGAGGCACTTGCTCACCTGCTGCACTCTCTGCACTGGGGAGCTCTGTTCTGGGAACTTCCTGGCTTGTGCGTCATCACACAGAGCTGCCACCTCCTTCAACAGCTCTTTCAATTCTCTTTCCAGGATTTCCCCTGAAGTTTTGGACTCTTCTTGCATGTGCCGAGTTTCTTCCTCCTTTGCTTCCAACAGGTGTACCAGTGAAGAGTGCAACGTGTCCAACTCTATCATTTTATCCTGTTTTTCTTGCAGCTGCTGGGTTAGATTTTCATTTTCAGACCTGATCATGAGCAGGTCCAATTCTGAAGCTTTCAGGTGTTCCATCATCAATTCCATTTGTGATTTTAGGGTTTCCACCCCTGCTTTGGGATACCCAGCGGGAAGAATTGTTGCCTCGTGGTTTCTCCTCACCATCTGCAACTGGCTTGCAAGATTCTCCTCCTTCTTACTGTCAGTTCCTTTCATTTCCTCCAAGGGTTTCTTCTCGTCAGCCTCCATGCTGACCCTCACGGTTTCCATGTCATTATTCATCAGATGCCCCTTGTCTTGGGTTGAGCTCAGCCTCATGGCGACCTCACCTTTTTGCATTCCTGCAGCCTGCAAGGTTTTTGTGACAGTCAGATCTTCTTGATCCAGTTTGTGTACCTTGTTCTGCAGGCTTTCAGATTCCCTTACAAAGGATTCTTTCTTGTGATTCATTGGTTCCATTTGGTGTTCATGCTGATTTCTTCCCAAAGACAGGGCCTCTAAGTCCTTTATCAAACTCTGCAGCTGCTCCTGGGGGTGGGCTTTCTCTTTGAAAGACTGCTCATGGAGTCCTTCTCCTACCAGCAAAACAGCTGCAGTCTTGGTCACTTTCTCCATCTTATGGCTCAGGTCCTGCTGGACATCTCTATCACAGATCAGATGAAGATTGTGCTTGGATGTTTTGTCTTTGGTTTGTAAAGCACTTTCTTCTGATCTATTTGTGTCACAGCTGTCCCTTCTGCCCTGGAGAACCTGTGGTTGTAATATACAATGAGAATGCATTTTAATATTGAGGGAGAATCAGGAAAGATCCAGTAGGCTTATTTCTTGGTTTGTAGACACTGGATTCTTGCCTCTACTACACACATCCTTTCCAATGACATATTTCCTATGACATTCTCTCCTCTCCATCCCAATGTCAACACAGTTAAACAAACATTCAGGGGGTATCCTGTCTGGCCAAGGCAGTGGCAAAAGTGTTTGTCATGAAGACAGACCCTCTAGTTGTATGATCATCCACACTGGCACACACTTAAATTTCAAATGGTTTTTCTCTCTAGGAACAGTTCAGATAGCCTAAATATAAATCGTCCTTTTGGATCATCAGACAGGAGGCTTACCAATTTCACACAGAATGCCCAGCTTCCATCTTTAGCAGTTCTGCTATGCTTCAACAGTAGAAGGTGGTGAGCTGTCATGACCAGATTGTCAGCCCAATGACTTAAGCCTGTACTTACCATCTGGATTCTGAGAGAAACCATATATCTGGACTCCACCTTCCTGTCACCTGGTAAACAGGGGTCAGCTGCCCTGACTATCCCTGTTGCCTCCTCACCACTTGCCATTTCATCATACAATGGCAGCTAGAGGGAATTAAGTGAGATACCTTGACTCTACAGCATTCGTAGCTTATTGGTAGACTACAAGGATAAACTTGTAAGTAACTAAGCAATTTCACATTCGATAAAGAAAGAAATGTATTTTTCATGCATATGAAATCACACATTTGGACTGGGGTAAAGTGGTAGACAATGATTTGGAAATCTGTAATAAGCTCTTATGTTTGTTTCAGGACTATAATACTGTAACATAAAAAAAAGCCAGAAAGGGCTAGAGATTTTATTATTTACACCATATTCCCATTGCAAAGCTCTAATGGAATATGTAAGTGTGCTTTATTAACTCACAAATAATGAAAATATATGACATAGACTTCCTGAAGACAACTCTTCCAACTCTGTAATATAATTTTGTGCAGGAGACTTTAAGAAAGATCTTTTGGATTGTTCCATATTAAATGCAATCCCTGAAAAAAATTCAGCTCCCCCAAAAGTTCTGTTTTTATGTTGGAAAAAAAAACTTTAGGGGACTTCTGGCCAAGATGGAGGGGTATGTGGAAATACTGTACCTCCTCATGCAACCAAATTTATGGACAACAAAGAGTTAGAAACAAAAACCAACCAAAGCAGACAGGAAATTGAGCTGTACTGAAGTCTGACAACAATGAACCATGCATCCAGACTGATATACCATAAAGGAACATACAGTGAGATAGACCTCACAATCCGGGGCCCAGCAATAGGAATTAAAGCCTAAAAGCACAGATTGGAGAAACTTTCGGGGACTGAGGTGCCAGGAGAGTCTCCCAGCCACAGGGGAGAATCCTTGGAGAGACCCATGGAGTCCTAAAAGATACACAGGCACACGCACAGGAGAACCAAAAGCAGAAGAGCCCAATTTGCTTGTGGAAATGGTAGAGGACTGAAATCCCAGAGAAAGCAGAACAAATGGCATTGCTCCCTCTCTGATCTGCCCCCACATACAATGCCACGACCCGGAAACGTGGGTTGCCCTGCCCTGGTGAATACTTAAGGCTCCACCCCTCATATGTAACAGGCACGAACTGACCAAAATGTAGCTCAAGCAGAAGAACAACTCAAAATCCCAGAGCCAATACTTCTAAGCAACCAAGAGATAGCCAACCTATCAGATGCACACCTCATAACACTGGTGATCAGGATGCTCACTGAACTGGTTGATTTTAGTCGCAAATTAGATGAAAAAATGAAGACTATTCTAAGTGAAATGAAGTAAAATGCACAGGAAACCAATAGCAATAGAAATAAAACTGGGAATAAAATCAATTGAGTGGACCAGAAGGAAGAAAGAAATGATCAAAGAATAAAGAAACATGAATTCAAAAAATGAGGAGAGGCTTAGGAACTTCTAGGAAATCTTTAAATGTTCTAACATCCAAATTATAGGGGTACCAGAAGGAGAAGAGGAACAGCAACAACTGGAAAACTTATTTGAACAAATAAGAAACAACTTCCCAGTCTGAAAAACAAAATAGACTTGCAGGAAGTCCAGGAAACTCAGAGTCCCAAAGAAGTTGCAGCCAAGGAGGAACACACCAAGGCACATCATAATTACATTAACCAGGATTAAAATGAAGCAGATTATTGTAGAAGTGGCAAGAGATAAGGAGACAGTCACCTACAAAGGATTTCCCATCAGACTGTCGGCTGACTTCTCAAGAGAGACCTCACAGTCAAGAAGGGCCTGGAAAGATGTATTCCAAGTCATGAAATCCAAAGACCTACATCCAACATCGCTCTATCCAGCAAATCCTTCATTCAGAATGGGAGGGCAGTTAAAGTACTTCTCAGATAAAGCCAAGTTCAAGGAGTTCATCATCACCAAGCCCTTATTCTATGTAATGTTAAAGGGACTTATCTAAGAAAAAGAAGATAATATAGGAACAATGAAAGGACAGCAAACTCACAGTTATTAGCAACCACACCTAAAACAAAAGCAAACTAAGCAGACAGCTGGATCAAGAGTGGAACCATAGAAATGGAGATCACAATGGAGGGTTAGCAACAGGGCACTGGGAGGAGGAGAAGTGGGGAGAAGGTACAGAGAATAAGTAGCCTAGATGGTATGTAGAAAATAGACAGCGGGTAGGGCAAGAATAGTATGGGAAATGTAGAAGCTAAAGAACTTGTGACACATAGACACGAACTAAAGGGTGGAATGTATGGGGAGCTGGTTTGAAGGGTGGAGGGGAAATGGAAAAACTGTAGTGGCATAATCAATAAATATATTAAAACATTGTAATTAAAAAATAAAAACAAACTTTAGAATATACTTTATGCCCTTGAAAACATATTCTATCTACCAAGGAATTATTCACTTTACACTGTTGCTCAAAAGCAAGAAGACTGCTGCAATGAGTTTCCTTTGTCACCAAGGAATTGCTAAGTATTAGCTGCTCCCTGAGACTCTCCTATTCAGAGCGCAAGTCATGGTGACACTGGTCTTTGTTATTTCACCTGACATTAGTTGAACTTTGTGCTTTACCCCTTGACTTGCTCAGTGAGCTCAGACACTTTGAAGCACATGCTTTCTGTTTCCCTCTTATGTTTCTGATCTGACAACTCGACTTTCTGCTGGAATTCTCCCTGAGCTTCTTTCTGGGTCTCTCTCTCTACTGTCTTGTAATGGGAGACACTGTGAAGGTTCTTCAGCTCCACAATTAGGCTTCCTCCTTCCATCTCCTGCGTGCTGACTCTCTTGTCGTATTCATTGCTTCTTATTTGTTGTGTCTCAAGACACATTTCCAATTGATTGATTTACTCAGGAAGATTTCCTTCTCTAATTCCATCTGCTCTATGAGTTTTCATTTTCACTTTTCCAGTGAGAAGAGAGTTTTCTCTTCTTTCCATTCTTCAAACTCCTCCTCCTTTTCTTTTTTTTTATGATCTCCAAAGCATCCAATAGAGCTTCAGACTCTTTCTCAGTTTTGCTTAACTTTTCACTCACTTTTTCAATGTGATGTTCTTTTTGTTTGAAAAGGGCTTGAGAACCATCATGCTGCTTTTCCAGATCAGCCAATGCAAGCTTCAGTTTCTCTGAAGTCAAGGAATTCTCTTGCTGATTAATTTTTTCTTGGAGATCTCTTAACATGGTTTCTTGAGATGCATTCTTAGCTGTGAAATATACAAAATAAAAAGCACATTGAATGTTTTAAATATTCATTTCATAAGAATTCTAAAATGAAAAAATAATCTAAAAACACTAACAACTCCTCACCCCTGTGAAAACTGACATTATTGTCCAGACACCTCCTGCAAAAAAGATCACCAGACAATCATTTAAGCTTCCAAAAAGACCATGAGAAAGATGGTCCTTTTAGATGCGCTAATGTATTTGTCCATCTTCGCTGTATGCAACTTAAAAAGTGTTATATAAGATGCCAGGAGATTAATTCCCTAAGAAGTTGAAATTTTTCCTCTGTGTTTGTGTAAATGTAGATAGGAACAGCTGTTTTATTGTGCTTCCCATATATTGTGTGCTTTACAAAAGGAAGGCAAGACCCTGCACCAGCAAAACAGTCAACACTCACTTTATTGTGTGTGACATTCACTTTCTTGCACTGGTTGGAACCAAGCTGGCTCCATTTCTGAGGTTTCCCTGCAGTTTTGACTTCTTCTGAAATAATTACTCAGCCCTGGCCTCTGCAGTTCCATGGATTAAGTGTGGGCTGTGAACCAAATGGTTACCAGTTTAATTCCCAGTCTGAGCACATGCATGGGTTGCGGGCCAGGTCTGAGTGGTGACCACCAGAGAGGCAACCACACATTGATGTGTGTCTCCCTCACTTTCTCCCTGCCTTCCACTCTCCTTGAAAATAAATAAATTTTAAAAATAATTATTGACCTGGCTGGTATAGCTCAGTGGATTTAGTGCAGGCCTATGAAGCAGAGGATCGCAGTTCGATTCCCAGTGAGGGCACATGCCTGGGTTGCAGGCAAGTTCCCGGCAGTGCATGCATGTGAGGCAACCATACATTGATTATTTCTCTCCCTCTCTCCTTCCCTTCACCTCTAAAGATAAATAAATAAAAAATTAAATATTCACATTCATTAAAAAACCTAATTAAAATATATTGGGAGAGAGAAAACCAACAAAAGCAGCACTGAAGTGGAAATATTCCCTTCACTGGGGAGTAATTCTGATTTCCCAGAATAAGTGTGTAACTGCTCCACCATTTTCTCCACAATCCATGGGTTCTGTATCAAAGAGGAAAAGATGTTTTACGCCAGTACCTCTCGAGGCCTCTATATGAATATCACCCATGTCCCACATCCTCACAGAACAACTGGTGTCTGTGAATCTCAGCATCATCTGGGAGCTTTTTCAAACTTTGTTATCACCTTGTTTCTGCCCAGCAACATACCTGTACCCCCTGACCCCACCCAGTTGACAATAATCTCAAAGCTTTCACTCCAAAGTGATAGGCATCCTTCCAACTCCCCAGATAAATAGAGGGAGAATTCATTTGTCCATAGCAGATGAGAAAGGCAGCATGTATTCTAAACGCAGTGGGGACAATAAGTGGAACCCAACTCCTGTTTTAACCCACGAATCTCAGTCCACCTACTGAGTGATGGCTCTCCACAGGCTACAAGAGCTATCAGTCTCCTCTGCTTATGGGGACCTGGAACAATGATCCTGGTGGCCAACAATGGAAAATGCCCAAATGTTTCACTTTTCTTCTGGTTTTATTTCAAAAAAGACTGGCATTTCTACCTACTGTGGTGGAAAAACTCAAAGCCGTCTCAGGGACATGTGAATTTTTAAAAGAAAACAGTCACAGAGAAGTGTGACCCATAACTCCGTGATCCACAATGTCAAGTTTAGAGAAATCCTGGATGTGCACATACCCAAGCTGAGAAAATAAATGTAACAAGAAGACCTATGGTACACCTAAAAATGGGTAACAAGTGGCAGATTCATTTGGTGTGGATAGCATGATTCTGTGGCTCTACAGTAAAGACAAAATCATTTAGTGAAGTAAGTCATCAAAAACCGATGGTCATTAAAGGGCTGGGAAAACACGCACTTCATGTAGGGAGTTTTCATTGTAAGGGAAAGAGTGAGGAGACAAGCTGCCTGAGTGTCACTGATAAATACATTGGGGACAGACAACAGCACTCTGGGGACACAGGCAGAACTGACAATTTCCTTTTGTGTGGAAAACATGCACCCTCAGTTTCTAAGTGCTGAAAAACAGGCATTTGGGGGTGCTAGTATTTCAATTAAAAAAGGGTCCAACTATCCCTCTAGAAACTAAAAAGTAGAAGAGACAAAACTTTTTCCACATCCACTGCAGACTTCTTCCTGGGAGACTAGATAGAAAACTTCAAAGTTTCTAATGCCAGCCACCATCCTCCATACACTAGCTTAGGAAATCAGTCCATATCACCAAGTTTTACTTACCCCTCATTTCCTCTGTAGAATTCTGGCTCTGACTCAAACACTGCTTGGTCTTCTTCAGTTCTTCCTGCAGATGGCAGACTTCTCTGGCACTTTGCTCAGACTGACTCTTGAGGAAACTGTTTTCCTTCTTCATTTCCTAAAGCACAAGTTGACTTGGTTATACTCAAAATGAATGCTCCAGCAAACTATGACTTCTGCCTCAGTAAGAGTTCCTAATGGAACCGGTGGTGTATCTCATGGGGGGAAGAGTCACACCTTCCCTTTTAGCACTTTATATAATTAGACATTCTGACTTAACCCAGTGATTTTATGGACAGAAGTTAAAACACAAGCAAAAAACCCAAATCCGATGGCAATTGTTTTGCTTTGAGAAAACGATTGGTTTCAACTTTCTGGTTGTTTCTAAGCCTGTTCAAAATTTCACTGAGATGGAAAATCCCATTGAAGTGTCCCTCAAGAACATAAGCTCCAAGTCCTTATCACACCTGAATGATCAACTATATCTTTGCAAAGTCTGATGTGCTAAGGAACAACATACATTCACAGAAAAAAATGTTTCCTTCACAATTGAAAACAATCTTAATTTTCACTATTACAGCCATGTATTTATGAGTCAATACATTGCATGAAGTGTTTCTCAAAATATCTCCAATGACCAATTATCTGGAATAGGCATTATAAAAAGCCATAATATAAGAAATACAGAGCAAGGCCTCAGAAAGAAGTGACACCCACCACTTAATAACATGGGCAAGTACTAATGACTAGAGAGGGGCCCTGTGCTGTGGGAACCCAGCTGGAGCACAGAAGCAAGAGTTCATTCTCCATGGAGGAGTTGAAGCTTTCACAGGGAGAACAGAGTCTTTGGGCACTTGATTCAATGGAGTGTCCATGAAACAAAGTGCAAATAAAGTAGCAGAGATGCAGATACACCCCCACTGTACTATCTAGGGTGAAATGTATAACTTTCCAAACCTTCAAAGCACTAATATTTGTATGCCTGGTATAAGTGCTATTGCTTATTTAGCATGGAAGACACAAACCATCATAAATCCTCCATTTTTTATACTGTTTTCCAACATTCAATGAAGTTGTAGCTGGTAAGTATCTCAACTTATATCATATACATCGATTTGGAACACAGAGAATTGGCATATACTGAAAGAACTCATGGTCCCACATCCTTGGGGTGGAACATTCATAAGGCTAACATTCAAACACGAACACACACCACACACGCTTAAAACATAATCCTGTGAGAAGTAAGGGAAAATGATTTAATCTTAAAAAAACAATAAGTTGGAAGCTCTAAACCTTTTTCATGCCATGCCTTATGCATCTCTCCATCTGTTTGTTTCTGAGTTATATTCTTTTATAATACACTGGTGATTGTAGTATGAAGATCATGGAGAGATAGATGGACGTGTAGTGCACTTCCCCCCTGCACATGTGAAGAAACACTTAGCTGATCTTCCGAGGAGCAAAGGGAACAGCCAATAGTACCCCAATATATCTGAACATTGGAGACCAAAACTTGGAGAGCATATTGAAAAATCCAATAAGTAGGTAGAAGGCGTGAACACCAGGACACCTGCTGGAACAGGAAAACTACCAAACCAGGAACCATGAATAGGGAACAAAATGAGGTGAAAGAGAAAGTGGAAGCCACACTAACTCAACTTAGGACCTACCTGGAAATACAAATAATGGTGGAGAAAATATTTAGAACAAACAGCTGCACAAGAACAAGAGAGAATCCTCAAAACCTTGTGCACATGGAAGAACCACCTTCAACACAACTTGCCCACACCTGCACACCAAAATACAGGAGGTGGCTGAATGTCACTTAAGATTAACAGGGGACCCTCACAAAACAAACTGGAGAGAAGGACCAACCAACCAAACACCCAATGATAATCAAATCTAAAGATACCCAGAGAGCCAGCATAAATAATAGCACAAGACCAGCAAGCTCAGGACATCAAGGAGACTACACCACTAAATCTCACAGGTCATCTACCATACAAGTTCATGCTATAAACCCAGGGAGTCAGAACAGATCATTTAAGAAACTGAGGCTAGCAAGAAAAGGCTCAGAAACACTGGCAAGTTGAAGAAACAATCCCCAAATGAAAGGAAAGGAGGAAGCCTCAGAAAGAATGCTAAATAAAAGAGAGGCAAGTCAACTATCAGATATAGAGTACAAAGCAACTGTTATAAGGAAGCTCAATGAGCTCACAGAGAATTACCAAAAGATACAGCAATACTACAATGAACATGAACATGTAAACTACATCAGCATGAAGAAGGAAATAGAAATGATCAAAAAGAGCCAAGAGCATATGAAGAATATTACTTATGAACTGAAGAACACAGTACAAGAAAACAAAAGCAGACTCAGTGAAGCCAAGGACTGGATCAGCAAGCTGGAGGACAAGGCAGAAGAGAACACCCAGAATGAGCAAGAAAAGGAAAAGAAGCTCAGAAAGAATGAAGAGGGCTTCCAGGAAATGCAGAACAACAAGGAACATAATAATATCTGTATAATAGGGATACTAGAAGGACAAGAAGAAGATCAAGGGGTAGAAAACCTGTTTGAAAAAGGAATGATGGAAAACTTTCCTAACGTGATGAGGGAAAAAGTCACACTAATTCAGGAAACACGAACAGTTCCAATCAAGAGGAAGCCAAAGAGGCCCACTTCCAGACAGATCATCATTAAAATGGCAAAATTCCAAGATAAAGAGAGAATCTCAAAGGCATCAAGGGAAAAACAGGAAGTAACATACAAGGGAGCCCCAATAAGACTAGCAGCAGACTTCTCAATGGAAACGCTCCAGGACAGAAGAGAATGCCAAGAAATACTCCAAGTCATCAGAACCAGAGGCCTGCAACCAAGACTACTTTACCCAGCAAGACTCCTAATTGAAATGGAAGGCTAAGTAAGGATGTTTGCAGATGAAAGAAGCCTCAAATAATATACTTCCTCCAAACAGCTCTGCAAAAAAAAATGCTAAAGTGTTTGCTTCAAGAACAGGAAGAAAAACACTGAAAGAGGGAGGAACACAGGAAGAAAAAAGGGGCAATGAATAAATACCTATCAATAATGACCTTAAAAAGAAATGGATTGAATGTCCAAATCAAAATACACAGAATAGAGGAATGGAGAAAAAACATGTCCCACACACATGCTGCCCACAAGATACCCACTTCAGAACAAAAGACCTACACAGACTGAAAGTCAAGGGCTGGAAAAATAATATTCCAAGCACGTGGACAGGAAAAAAAGATGGGGTAGCCGTATTCATATTAGACAAAATAGACTTCAAAAAAGAGCCATGAAAAGAGACCCAGAAGGTCACTTCATAATGCTCAAGGCATGAATCCATCAAGAAGTCATAAACATCGCAAGTACATATGCATCCAACACAGGAGCACTCAGATACATAAAGAAAATCTAGGAGAACTTCAAGAAAGATGTTGACAGCAACACAATTAGAGTAGGGGACTTTACCACCGCACTGTCAAAAATGGACAGATCTTCTGAAATAAATATCAACAAAGAAATTGTGGCATTGAACAATGGTCTAGATGAAATGGACTTAACTCACATGTAGAGAGCCTTTCATTCCAAAGAAGCAAAATGCATGTTCTTTTCAAATGCACAGGGAACATTTTCAAAGATAGAGCACATGAGAGGACACAAAACAAGCCTCAACAAATTCAAGAAAATTGAAATCATATCAAGCATTTTCTCTGACCACAAGGGACTGAAACTAGAAACCCACCTCAAGGAAGAAGACCCCGAAACTCAAACTCATGGTAATTGAATAGCATGCTATTAAACAATGAGTGGGTCAAGAATGACGTTAAGGAAGAAATCAAAAAGTTTCTGCAAACAAATGAAAATGAACTCACAACAATCCCAAACTCATGGGACACAGCAAAGGCAGTCCTGAGAGGGAAGTTCATAGCACTACTGGCCTACCTAAAAATCACAGGAACATTTCAAATAAACAACGTATCCCTATGCCTACAAGAAATCAAGGAACATCAACAAAGACAGCCCAGAGCAAGTAGACAGAAGGAAATAACCAAGATCAGAACAGAATTAAATGACATAGAGATGAAAAGCACAATTCTAAGGATCAGTGAATCAAGGAGCTGGTTCTTTCAAAAGCTAAACAAAACCGACAAGCCTTTAAGCAGGCCCATCAAGAAGAGAAGAGAGAGGACCCAAATCAGAAATGAAAGAGGAGAGATTACAACTGATACTACAAAAATACAAAGGATCGTAAAAAACTGCTAGGAAGAACAATATGCCTAGAAAATTGAAAACCTAGGTGAAATGGACAAGTTTCTAGAAAAATATCATCTTCCAAAACTCAATGAAGAAGAAGCAGAAAGCCTCAACAGGCCAGTAACAGCTAATGAAATTGAAAGAGTGATCAAATAGCTTCCAACACGCAAAAGCCCTGGACCAGATGGATTCACAGGAGAATTTGACAAAGCATTTAAGGGAGAGCTAACCCCCATCCCTCCACATATTATTCCAAAATATTGAAGAAGATGGAAGACACCCAAACTCTTTTTATGAGACAAGCATCATCCTAATCACCAAACAAATAAAGACATAACAAAGAAAGAAAAATTCAGGCCAGTATCTCTCATGAACATGGATGCTAAAATCCTCAACAAAATATTGGCAAACTATATCCAGGAATATGTTACAAAGATCATACACCATGATCAAGTGGGATTCACCCCAGGGATACAAGAATGGTCCAATATTTGCAAATCAATAAACACAATTCACCACATAAGCAGAACAAAACATGAAAATCACATGATCACATCTGGAGATGCAGAAAATGCCTTTGACAATATATGGCACCCATTTATGATAAAAACACTCAGAAAACTGGGAAAGAGGGAGCATTTCTTAACATAAAGACCATATATGAGAGACCTACAGCCAACATCATTCTCAATGGACACAAACTTAGAGCTTTCCCACTAAGATCAGGAAAAAGACAAGGGTGTCCACTTTCACCACTCCTAATCTACATATACTGGAAGTCCTAGCCACAGCAATCAGAGAAAAAAAAAAGAAATAAAAGGCATGCAGATTGCAAA